TTCGTTAGTAGAGGCGTTCATAACCCGAGGTACCACTGTATAGCAGGTTTAAAAATACAAATTGATGTCTTGGAAGGGTTGTGTAAGAGAGGGATGCTTATGTGATCAGTTTAGTTATAGAAGACCTAACTACAAGTATATCTGTTTATGTAGTCCATTTCTCTGAAATAGTAAATACCATCAACAATAGGAAATAAAGCAACATACTATTGGAATAAGACACAGAGCATGGGAAAACCTATCTAAAGTTTGTTTAGCATTTCCCTTTTCAATGAAATTGAGGTTGATTTAATTTCCTTCATACTTCTTGATAGACAAAACTCCACATTAAATTCTGGTTGACCACAGAAACCAGGCTTCTGACTCAATCCGCCCCATTTCTGCTTCCTTTAAAATTACCTTCCTGAATTAATGCTGTCCAGATGTGTTGGAATCACAACTTCCTGTTACAAACCCTGCTGCCCACAAGGCTGCAAATTTGGGGAATTCTGGACCTGAATCTATCTGAAAGGCACTTGATTGTGAAGGGCCTTTAAAGACAAGCCATGCTTGAAAAAATAAGATCAGCTGTGCTGTGCCAGACCAAAGCTCTACCCAGTCCAGCGTTCTGTTACCCACAGAGGTCATACTGATATCTGTGGGAGGCTCAGAAGCGGTGCATGAGGGACAATACCAGATTGCTTGTAACTGGTTGGGGTTCTGAAGGATACAAAACAATATGTCTGGATAGCTTTGCTGCTAACGTTATTTATTGCTGGTATATGATAATGTAGCATCAGTCCCAGTGATTTTTCACAGTGTAACATGTGAACACTGACAGGGTTAGGATTTAAACCTGTGTTCTTCTTGTTCAGCATCTCAACATAAGTTCTCTGCTACTGATTTTGTTCACATGTTACAGTTTTTCTGGCTTCTTTGTGTGGTTCAGCATTTTGAATGAATTATGAATAAGAAGTCTAGTGCAACATACAAATAGGAAGAACTAATGATATTAGAGTTTTTCCTTTTAAAAATAGATGGGGTGTGTGTGCTTCTGGGATTCCATATCCCAAAGTATAACTTTGTCTTCCATATGTTTCTTCTTCCTCAGATACTTCAAGAAGTGCAAGCCTTTCTGAAACAGAGCTGAAGGAGGCAAAAGCTAGGAGCCAGAGAATTGTTGCTCAGTTGACAAATCCACCAAGTTCCAATTCCAAAGGGGTCCTACTGTTTCATAGGCGCAAGCAGCGAGTGAATGCATTCACCTTAGGAGTCCCAAACCCAGCCAGCCACGAACAAGTAGCTGTGGAGAGCAACCCCAAAGCTATTGCTCACTATTGCACTCTGAGCCATGGGAAGGAATCACATCTGAAGCAGACTCTAAAACCAACTGGGGGGTTGAACACATCATTCTGCATCAAGGATTTTGGATGCTGGGGGCAAAAAGTCACCATGGAAAAATATGAGGAGAGACTGGGTGTGGAACAACCCCTAGATAATGCACAGGGCCTTCCATGGAATAAAGAAAAGAGTGAGAAGATTCTTTATTCAACTAACACAATGTTGTCCTCTAAAGAAATTCCAGATGAAGAATTTCAGCAGATCCCACTCAGTGTATACCTTAAGGAGAATACAGGGACAACTTCAACCAATGGAATGCATGAACCTATCACTGAGTTTGGAAAAGTGCCTATTGTTGAGCAAGGACCAATTATGGGCAATATAGAAAACATCCCACCTAAGGCTGATGATGTAGCTACCCCTAACATTGAGAAAAAAGATACCATTCTTGAAAAAGAGCTGTATCTTCTGCATATGGATCAGGAAAATAATATTGTCGATAAAGAACCATATTTACCCATAGGTAGTGAGAAAAACAATAACATCCCCGACAAAGACCTATATGCAGCTGTCATTGATAAGGAGAATAATATTGTCCTCAACAAGACACTGAGTGAACCAGTCATTGACCGAAAGGAAAATGGAGAGATTCCCTGCAAGGAACAGGATGAGTTGGTAACTGGAGATGAGAATATTTTTCCCACTGCTGACACTGAAAAACCCACTGATGTGCGTTCTAATGAAAGCAGCACACAAAATAATAAGCAGTACTGTGAAGTGCGCCTAACTTTGTCTAAGCCCCAACCAGTGAAGAACCGAACTGCAAGACCTTTTGGAACTCAATCACTAGCTAAAATCCTCCCACCAGCAGAGAAAAGCCCAGTGGTGGAGTTTCCTCCACCACCTACCTATGCAGAAACATTTTCCAGCCCTCCTCCAGTGACTAGGGTCAGGTCACCTCCAGCTTACTCAGCACTGTATCCTAGTCAAGAACAGAAAATCTTGGTTCCATCTGAAGCTAGGTATAAAGACAGCAGCCCAGGACCTCAATTCAAAGAGAACAGAGCACCACCTCCAGATAAAACAGGCATTTTGGAGGAATCTGCAGCCCGCAGAGCAGCTAAGAAGTCCATGTTCACCTTTGTTGAGAAGCCAAAAATGGCTCCTAATCCAGATCTTTTGAATTTGGTACAGACAGCAGATAATAAAAAGAAGCACAAAGGACAAGAAGGAGCACTTCCTGAGGATGAATCATTTGCACTGGGTGCAGATGCCTCTAACTTTCTAACTGAAGGTAGACCATTAGATGGACCCACTCAGTCGCTTGCAGAAGCTCCACCAGAATGGTCTTCATGTTTAAGATCACCAAAAATACAACCTAAGCCTAAAATAAGCTCCAACCAAAGCCTATCAGAGGCAAAAGGAAAGGGGGCAGAACTGTTTGCCAGGAGGCAATCAAGAATGCAGAAGTATGTCATTGAGGCTCCATCACATCCAGATATAGCTAGATCACCTTCACCTACTATGTCTCTTCCTCCATCCTGGAAGTATACTTCAGAAACTCATCTCTCCCCTGTGGCATTCCAACCTACACTCAAAAGTCCATCAAGATCTCCAAAAGGTCCTCCTGCATCTTTTTACAACAGCAATTTGACAGAAAGTGAGCTGTCCAAAAAGGAGTTGGAAATCTCCAAGCAACAGCCTTACCAACTTCAGTCTTCCTTGTTCATTCGTTCCCCAGTCAAAGAGCCCATGAGATCTGTGGTCCCTGAAGCTGGATATATGAGGCAGGCTTTGTGCTCAACTTCACCCTTACCACCTTCTCCCCTATTGCACCCACCTGCCCAGTCCAGCCCAAGCAGAACATTGGCTGGCCTCTTTGCTCCATCACCTGGAACTGTGTTTCCATTGCAGAAGATCAGAGCAAGTGCTGAAGTATCACCAGAAGCATCTTTTGGTTACTCTTCTAAAATTTTGTCTCCAAGAGCTAAAGGAGTATTCCAAGCTCCAAGGCCATCTTACTCCACCAAGAATGCAGGAATTGAGCCTCAGGTGTGGAAACCTTCTTTTTACTACAAGTAATAGCTTTTAAAGAGTGTGCAAGGGTTCAGGCAAAAGACCTACATCATCGTTAGCTTCTGATTGGTGATGTGCAAAGAAAAAAAAAAGCAAAATGAAGACAGCTTGTAGGTTATGAACGCAAATACGTCTTATATATAATGTGCCATCTCTCAAACCATAATAGGCTACGGTACTTTTTCCACTAAGAAAACTTAGCAGGCTTTTTGGAAAAAAAAGATCTGCAGTGGAAACCCAGTTTAGCCTAATGCCGACATATCTCGGCTAAGCCAGTCCTGATAGAACTTGTGCAATTGGATTTGTGCCATATAAGTTCCAAAGAGAGTTCAGCGGTGTGTGGCTTTAGTCCACAAAAGAATATAAAGATAGTCCAAGCATAGGAGCCCTAGAAGATTATTAGCAGAAGCTTGACTGAAGCAGAAAGAAATGTCTGATGTTTTCTTTTTTCTCATGCCCAGAAACTCTATGAACATCCAATCTCTGGCTTCTTCTTTGCCTTACCTTCCCCCCCCCCCCCCCCCTTTTTTGGCTTCTTTGCTCTGAAGGGTGCTCCTCCACTGCCTTCTCTACATCCAGAGCCTCCAGTATGACACGCTCACCTTCTCTACTCTCTGCTGATGCCAAAAGACAATTCTAGCTGATGCCTGTTCCTGCCTGTGCTACCTTTGTTTGTGCTTCATTTATTTCTCCTCTCTAACTTTATTGTCTCTTTTAGATAACAGGAAACTGAATACCTTTGGGTAAATATGTGTATCATGAATGTAATCCAGAACACAAACCTCACTTAGCCTCTTAGCATCCTATAGTTAATGCAGAAAAGTGCTGGTGGACTAACCGAGCTTTACAAATTTTAAAAGTCACACAAAAGCTTCCTGCCTTGCCTCCCTCACCGCCCCCCCCCCCCTCCTTTCTCTGCAATCAGGGAATAGCTGCAGACGTTCTGCAGTTAGCTTACAATAAGTAATATTACGACAATTCTATCCTACTTATGCTGGGATTTAGGAGGACACAGAGGCCGTTGTTGTGACTGACCCCAAGGACCTCAAAGCAGTGAAAATGCAGAGATGCAGAGCCCAGTACCATGATTTAGTCTCTGGGAAATACAATGAGGTTTCATAAATTGGTTTTAAACCTTTTACACTGGCAGAATCCACTCAAGATATCTGCAGTTATCTCACAGAAGAACCTTTTTCAGCACTAGTAACTGTTAACAGAAATCAGGGATGTGTAAAATACAGTCTCTGTGATACAATATTTCTTCTGTACAGTCCCAGCGATACAGTATTTCCTGATAATGCTGAGGGTTTTTTTGGTGATTTTTTTTTTTAATGTTCACATGTTTTTCTGGTCCTTGGGATTAATTTTCCTTCTTGTTGTGGAGTGAAGGGAAAAAGGAACACTATGCTGTGCCCTAAAAAGGCTGAAACAGAAGGAAATAAAATGATTTTCACATTTTAGCACTTAATCTCTTATTTAACATCCATGCTAATCTTTCTTATGGATCTGAATTGAATATTGAATATTTGGAAGTAAAAGTTTCACCAAGATGATACTTAGATCACAGAACAAGTTCAGGTTCACCCTCTGATATTTAGAAATAAGAGATCCCTTATATTAAGTAGACAACTAATATTAGTTCCAGCCATCATCGCAGTCCTTCCTTCATTTTCCTCACACTGGGAAATCTTCAGACCAGGTCTATAGACCAGTGCAACAGGACCCAAAGTCAGTACATGAACATCTGCACTTTTTCAAAGTGGCACATCTGGCCTTGCTGGCTATTTTCACATTGCAGAAATATTTTTGAGGGAAGGCAGACAGCTGAGGGACTTGGAATAGGCACAAAAGGGTGGGAGCTCTCTATTTTTCTTTAGGATATAGAACTTCAAACTTCTATGTGATTGTATGGAGTGAGGGCTTCGTTTATATGTTTAGTTTGGAATAAAAGAGTCATGTTTAAAGTAAGCCAACTGCAGACTGACCTTCAGGCTGACTCCACAGAACAGGTGGTTGTGCCACCCTGCTGAGTGAACTGTCTCCAGACAAATCCAGCATTGAGAATTCATTTCTGCCATTGCCTTTTCCCATGATTTATTTAGTTGCAAACTGCAAGGCCTATACACAAAACACTAAATAATACTAGTTGTTATTACATTCCTATCCTACTTTTTGGTCAGGAGCTCAAGGCAGCATACACTGTGCTCCTCCCACCCACTTTACCCCATAACTTCAACCCCGTGAGGTAGGTTGGACTGAAGAAAGAAGACTTGCCCAAAGTCACCCAGGAGGCTTCTGTGGCTGAGGGTAGACTAGGACCTGGTCCAAGACCTTAACTACTCCGCCACATTGGCTATCTTCTTTTTAATTGTTAAGAACATAGCTAAAGAGATTTCCAGCCTAGTTCATTCTCTGTCTCTGACTTTTCCTCTTTCCCTCTTTCTCCTGCTCAACAAATTCTAGCAAAGACAATTCAAAGATATTACTGGAAACCCAATAAAGCAAGCAAGGTCAATGAATGAAGGGTCTATCAGATACAAGTGTCAGGTTCAGCCCAAGAACAACAACGAGGCAATCCAGTCCAGTCCAGTCCCTTTATTAGCTTGCACCTAATAGACAGAATCTCGCCAGACTAAACCTATGCTAAAGCAACTAGTGGATATATCCTGTGAGACTCTAGGGTGGGGCTAGCCTCATCCTCTTCCTCTTTCCACGCTCTTGCTGCAGACTGAGAAAGTGCTTGCTCTGGAATGCTCCCCCTCCCTCCTGATAACCTTGTTCCTCCATTCCAGTTATCTTCCTTTCTCAAGCCTTCCATTACAACAAGGCTTACACTGGTTGGCAATACCAAATGTGAAACTAATATCACTGAGTGCATTTTCTTTTCTCTTCCACACCATGTGTTCAGAGTGGGAATAGTTCCAGAGGTATAAGGAGAATTACTGAGGAAAGGGCTACGGAATAGCTAGGTGTTTATAGGACATTGGTTTGTCTCAGTTCTACTACGTTATTTGAATAGCTATACTGAGCCCAGGAGCATCTGCAAGGGGGCAGGCAGGAGGTTAAAAAAGTCAAAATACAGCCATGATCATGTGATTGAAGCTATGCCCTTTTTTGTGTGCATCACAGTGAACACACAAAAAAGGGGTGGGGCTGTGATTGTGTGGGCATGGCTCGTGTCTTGACTTTTTCAACACCCTCTTACAGACACCTCTGATTGAGTTCCGTATACCTGCTGCTTAATCAAGGGGCAGCAGCAAGGTTTCCCCCTTTTCTTCATCAATTCCTGCAATAAAAATACCTGCCTTGGTAAAGACCTAACGCAGATCTCAGACCAAGCTGATAGAGCCATCTCTCCTTATATAGCATATATGTAGAGTATATTATAGCAGTGTATTTCAACCTTGGCAGCTTTAAGATGTCTGGACTTCAACATGCTGGCTGGGGAATTCTGGGAGTTGAAGTCCACGTGTCTTGAGGTTGCCAAAGTTGAGAAACACGGTATTAGAGAAATGGTATCAGAAGGACCAGGAAGGCCTGGAACTTTGCAGCTGCAGTTTTCCTCCTTCCAAACTTGTAAGTCAAAGCAGAGATGGGTCAAACAGATCCCAGCAGGATGGCACTTGGAGGGCTTCATCATCTCTATCTGATGAAAAGATGGGAGGTTGCTCCAAGTGTTCTTTATAACAAAGGCCAGAGAAGGGAACCATCAGCTCAATGTCCTCCTTTCACTGGTGAGAAAAAGTGTTAAAACCCAACAGAGACTTTGGGAGGAGGGTTCCAATATGTTTGGATTAGGTCAGGACAAGAAACAAGAAGCACTTTTCTTTTAAGTATGATGATGTGAAAGCATTTTAATTCTCTTCACCATTTGAATCGACCGAAGGATCCTAGAGTCCAAGTGTATTCCATTTGCATTTTGGTTATTCCCCAAGAGTTTTACAGTTATAGGAGCATGAAATCCCC